GCCCAGGTGGGTCTCAAACCCACGGACTCAGGCAATCCACTCACCTCAGCCTCCCAAAGGTGCGGGATTACAGGCTGAGCCACCAAGCCCGGCTCATACCTCTGTTATTTCTAAACTGAAACTTCCATTACGCTTTGGCCAGAAAGCAGGAGGTGTGGTACCTATATAGGGGACAATAGTGATGTTGAACCTTGCTGGTCCAACACGAGAAGCTGATAGGGAGGGATGGAGTTGTGAGATGGCCCTGGTGGCCAATATCAGAAGCAGGGGCCACATACCTTTGCTCCCCTAGGAGCCTTGCCAGCTCGGGGGGGCGGGGGGGGCAGGTGTATCCTCCTTGGATATTCACTGACTTGGAAGTCAGAGGTCTTCGTTTTTGTACAGGCACTCTTCACAGGCAGCGAGTCTTTTCTAGCCTTCCTGGCACACAGGTCTTTGGAGCTGCCCACCACCAAGTTCTGGAAGCACAAGGCTCTAAACTAGTGGCAGGGTCGGGAAAGACATATGAAAGGAATGAGAGTCAAGCTGCCCCCAAAGAAACTGATCTTTCCAGCGACATCATCTTCCACAAGGACGGACAAAGAGAACTCTTGCCCCAGGATAATGTATACTTGGCCAGGTGTGGTGGCTCATGCCTGTAATCCCAGCACTTTGGGAGGTGGGGGCAGGAGGATTGCTTGAGGTCAGGAGTTCAAGACCAACCCGGGTAACATAGTGAGCCTCTATCTCTGTTTAAAAAGAAAGGAAAAGAAAAGAAAAAAAAGCCAGGTGTGGTGACTCACTCCTGTAATCCCAGCACTTTGGGAGGCTGAGGTGAGAGGATTGCTTGAGCCCAGGGTTCGAGACCAACCTGGGCAACTTGGCAAGACGTTGTCTCTACAATAAATCAAAAAAAGTAGCCGGGCGTGGTGCACGCGTCTGTAGTTCCAGCTACTTGGAAGGCTGAGGCAGAAGGATCGCCTGAGCTCAGCAGGTCGAGGCTGCGGTGGCCAGGAGCGGCCACTGCACTCCAGTCTGGGCGA